ATGAAATCCAACAAGATAATATTGTTTTTTCCCTGTATTTTTTTTTTTCAGATTTGGTTGTTGTCATTATTTATATCATTGTATTCAGTGTATATATTTTTCTCCTGATTTTCCTTCACTCAGTCATGCTTTCGTGTATTTTTATAATACATACATACAAACATATATATATATATATTTTTTTTGGGGGGGGTGAGGTAGGCAATTGGGGTTAAGTGACTGGCCCAGGTTCACATAGCTAGTAAGTGTGAAGTATCTGAGGACAGATTTGAACTCAGGTCCTCCTGACTCCAGGGCCAGTGCTTTATCCCATGAGCTACCTAGCTGCCCCTTTTATAATATTTATAGATGTAATTCTTTATGATGTAATAATATTCTGTTACTTCATATACCACAATTTAGTAATTCCTCAATTGGACACATGGAGTATTATGACTATTTTTGAATGGATAGGCCTCCCCCCCACCCATAACATCTTTAAGATATAGTACTAGTAGTGAGCTCAATGTGTCAAAGGAAAATAAAATCTTTGTAGCTTGATGGCATATTGCTTCCCAAAAAAGATTGTACCAGTTGTATAGCTCCTTCAGCAGGGTGGCTCTTTCTTCTTGCTCTACAGCTCCTTCATTGTTAGTGAAATGAAGTTTAACTCTCTTTGAGCCTAAATGACTCCATCTTGGTTTCAAGTAAGGACAGGATTACTATAGTTTGTTGAGTAAGCAAAATGTGTAACAATGTATATCTGAAGAAACATCCTTTATCTTTTATTTGCATCTTTCATGCCAACAATTCCAATTCCTATAGGTCCCTCGCTTATAACAACAACAACAAAACAGTTGAGCAAATTGACACAACTGAATATTTGACATTATAGACTCTTGTTACTACATCTCTACTTCATGTTTCAAAATTCTCAGGCAACAATATAGATCACTATGTTTATTATGAACTCTGATATCTTTGGTTATTCTTAGAGGTATGCTCAAAGTCTTGGGGGGTTGTTTCTGGCAAAAAAAAAAAAAAGGCTGGAACTTCCAATAAAAGATTGGAGGAGAAGGCTGATGGTCTCACAGCAACTTCATTTAGGTTTTTTTTTTGTTATTGCTTTCCCAAACATATACATTTGCAACGGGAAACACCTTTGATCTCGAGACTGGGGAAAATTTCAGTGTCTGAGATACACAAACTCTTAGGAGGTGCCTTTTGTCAGAGCTTCCTCATAGAAAGAGACACTCTTCACAGGGATCTCCTTATACTGTTCATCAAGATTTGCAAAGAATTTCTAATGATAAGTGAGATAGTTGCCTGGGACAATGGACCTCAATTCAACCCCAAACACAGAAATATTTAAATATAGCCAAAATATTTGTGTGTTCTGTTTGACTGTCTGTCTGGTTACTCTATTTTCCACAAGAGCTTGGCCACTTTAGGCTTATACTCTGGGATCCATACATTCCCTCTTCTTATGGAGACAAACAGTAGAGAGCTTTTTCCTAGCCTTATGACTGGATATGTATGAGGCTTGCCTTTCTCACTGAAAGAGGGGAAGTTTAAGCTTCTGGGTTTTAAGCTGAAAGAGGGCAGGTAGAACCCACTAATCCCCATTATTTGGAAGAGATAGCCGCTCAGCTGAAGTCTGTAGGTAAAGCTCAAAAGCTGAAAATGGAGAGAAACTCTGTGTCTGTGAGTCCAGGAGAGATTCTTTGGAGCAACTAGAAGATCAGCAAAGATTAGATGCTAAATGCTAGGTATTATGGATGCCAAACAACAACCATGAAACCAGTAAGAAGCAGTCCTATTAGAAAGCAATGATCAGTGGGGGGCAGGAGATCCATGTCTCAGGTATGGTATTATCTCTCTCTAATAAGACAGTGGATAGAAAGCTGGGCCTTGAGTCAGGAAAACCTGAGTTCAAATATGGCCTTAGACACTTAGGTAACTATTTGACCCTGGGGAAATCACTTAACCTGTTTGCCATAGTTTCCTCAACTGTTAAATTGGGGATAATAATACCACATACTTCACAGGATTGTTGTGAAGATCAAATGAGATCATGTTTGTAAAATACTTTAGCACAATAGCACAATATAGTAGGCCCTTAATAAATGTTTGTTCCCTTTCCCCTTCCTTCAGGGCAGGAACTGTCTCATTTTTGTATTTGTGCCCTCAGGTCTTAGCAAAATGCTTGGCACGTAGTAAGAATAAAAAAAAAATATTTTTTTTCATTCATTCATTCAGAGTCTCATGGGTACCCAGAAACAGATACAGAAAACACTTAAAGCGTTAAAATAGTCCACCACCTCCTCCCAGAAGGAATTTCCTTCAATATTCTACTGAGCACCTCTTTCCTACCAAGTCTTATGCTCCAAGATTTGTTGAAGCATTCTGTGGTTTACTTTCTCCATTGAAGGCAAATTCACTGTGGAGGCTGCTGAACAAGCAATCCCCTTTCCACAGGACCTGCACTATCTGAGTGATTCACTGGCTTTCCTTACCAAGTAGGACATTGCATAGGAACTGGTTCATCCTTTTCTTTCTCAGTTTTTCCAGGATGGTATGATAAGGGACGAGGTTTTCCTCTCAACTGCCACAACAAGCTCCACCATACCAGCGCTCTTCCTCGCCCCAGGACTGCCCCTCAGAACTGTGACCCAGATCCAAGCATGGGCAAAGCAAGAGATTCCTGCCTCAGCACTGGCAAAGAGATCCTTGTGATCCCTGCAG